TCTTTTATTAAACTGATTATTGTATTTTAGACGCATGGGAGGCATCTACATAGGAGTTAGCTGCATGCCGTTGAAAGGACTCAGCTAAAATTTTAGAAACGTGCAATAGTGACGCTGACTGCCTGTGTTTGACAGGACAGAGAAGCTGCTCGGAGTTCAAGGAGAGATGGGTGAAGTATGAACAGCCCTGTGATAAAAGAAGCCTTTTAAATTGTGTAAAACTCTATGGAGTAGGGAATGAGGTTCACCTTCTAAAAAGACTTAAAAAAGGAAGCTTCAGTGAAATGGATTGGATTCAAGCTTATTGTATGTTTTTTAAACACCAGTCTAAATCCAGACCTAAATCATTTTTAAGTCAAAAATGGGAAAGATCATGTTCACAGTCACTAACCCAGAATAGGTCTGTATTCATCATGATTTTACCCAGGAGATTTGACATTATTCAGCAAAATGAGAAAACATAAATAATAATTTTCCTTAAAAATGTAAAAAAAAAAGAGTATGAATCATTTGGTGAGGCACTGTGGATCTTAGAACAAAATTATAGTTTAGCTCATAATTAATGGCTTTTCTGTGGGGCCTTTTTTTGCCACACCTCTCTGACTCAGTTTTATCTGTCGACAGACACAATACCAAACGGAAAGGACCACTTGTCAGAGACGGAGGAGGATCTGAGCATCGAGGTATCCAAGCTGAGTGTGAGCACTTCAGAAACGGTGGAAATCTCCATAACAACAAGGGAGAAAACGGGGGAGCCTCAGACCCCGGAGAGCCAGAGCAAGTCCCCCAAGAAAAAGAAAAATAAGTTCCGTACTCCCTCGTTCTTGAAAAAAAGTAAGAAAAAGAAGGAGGAGAAGGCAAAAACAGAAGCTTGAGCGTGAGCAAAGAGTTTCATTTGAGGGGGAAAAGCGTGATATGAATTCCTTATTTTTGCTGAGTTAAAGAGAAGTGAAATAAGAGAAATGGAGCTATGACAAGAGAGCCTTCTGTATGTTTTAACAATCATTCAAAGTTCTTTCGATGATCCTTCAAAGATCTTTCTATGTGTTGGGACTTTTTTCAACCTTATGACTGACAACTGAGAACTTTATATGGATGAATCTGTTTAAAAAGGAATGCCAGTGTTCCTGTGCCTCCAACCCATATTTTAATGGGCCTTCATGGGTATAATGAAGTAATTCATATAATGAAACATCAAGTGGACCTTACATTTTTGTGATTTCTTTTCTTATTATTGCACAAGTTGTTGAATGTATTCAAAGTTAGAGGATTTTTTAAAAATGTTTAGGTAACAGTAGTTTAAGAGTGGCTGAAAAGTGTAAAGTTATATGATGTTTAGCCAAACAGTATATGTGTTTGAGCTTTGAATCTATTCATAGTTATACTTGTAATAATATATGTGTGTTTATATAACAGTATAGTGTTGGATAGTAAATGATTTGATAGTCTTTATATACTCTTACACTAAAATACGCTGTGATGAATCAAACGGTAACAATCCATGTTCTTACATGTTTGTGTCTTTTGCTGCTTTTATGGTATTTTTGACAAGGAACCAACTGTGACTAATAGAGAAAGCTCTGCAAGTGATTTTTATGAGTTTGACTTTTACCAATAGCTTTTTTATTTTATTTTGGGATTGCAATTATGAAAGTGCCATGGGTGAATCACAGCAAGTAGATTTTGATGTCTTTTGTTTGCTTAGCTTGTCATTTAAGGCATCTGAGTAATGAAATCTCTTCTTCTTGCTCAATGTTGGAGTTTTACATGAAGGATAATGGAGGTTTGTGTATTTCTAACCCAGTCAACAATGTGAATGGTGAATTTCAACCCAAAGGGAGTTTCTTGTAAATAGTATTTTTTTTCTGAAGTTCCTTTGCTATGATAAACCAAATAGCAACAAATCTTTAAAAAGTGAGAGAACAATCGAATATCCATATTCTAACACTCCCTGTATTATGCTGTTACTTTACTTACTATAAATAAGCTCCATAATTTGTGTTTACATTTGTACTGCTAATGTATGCTTGTGTTTCTCTTCTTGTTTACATTCCTCTTTGTTTATTAGCAAGATTTTTTTTTTTGCTAGACAAAATAACACCTGTAATATGAAATAAAACTTTTTGTGATACAAATTTCCCAGTCTTCTTGTCTTAAAAACTCTCCAACCTCTCCTCCACCCAACAGAAAACAATACATTCACTCCATTTGGTGATAATTACGCCTGTAAAGCTGCATAATCAGCCTTCAGCCATGATATGAATGAGCGTTGTCATGGTGAAACACTGAGTGTGGGGTCTGTGGAGACAAAAGAGGGGATTTGTTGTCTCCAACAGGTGTTCACGGTGGGGGAAGTGGCGGGATCTGCACCTTCACGACCCCTTAAGCCACACACATTCACCTCCATAGAACATGCAGAGCTACATATTTTATCTGACATGTTTTATTTACATTTTTTTTGGTCCGATTAATTACTAAAGGTTTTTGGATTTTTTATTTCTTTATTAGATCTTCACCATTTGTGCGCCTCCAATGCGTGGCCACCATCAGTGTGTGAAAACCAATGCGTTTTCTGCCCTCGCTGTGGCAGCCTACAAAGGGTAAAGAGCAGGTGACAAATGTGACCTGCAGCACTGTTGTGCTTTGACCTCTCAACAAAGGGTTTCAGTTGTTGTAAAACAACTATAGAATCAACAGACCACCAGTGTGCTTCAAATGAGTTTGAACATTTTAGGATTTTGTCAACTGAAGTAAAAAATATATATATTTTAACATTGTTTAACATTATGTGACAGACCCACAAAAAAGGACACATAATTAATTCATAATTAGTCAAAACATGTTATAATCTTAGTATGAACCACACTGTTCTTCGAAGACCTCCACAGCCTAAACAAATCAGTTCTTAGTTTCTAACCCCGCTATGTTTTAAGGAACGATATCAGTATTTAAAGTTAGTCACAATGCATCTCATTTGCATGCTGCCACAAGCCATGTAGGAGGTAAAGTAAACACTGAGGGACAGAGCTATGGATGGATGAGCTTAAACTCTGACTTAGCACAACATGCAAAATAAAAAAAAAAGTATTTCTCTGAACACTTCATTATCATGTTGTAGCATGGTAGTGTCAGCATCATGCTGTGGAAATGCATGATTCCTTAGTTTAGATAGATAGATAGATAGATAGATAGATAGATAGATAGATAGATAGATAGATAGATAGATAGATAGATAGATAGATAGATAGATAGATAATTTTCAGTTTAAAAAATATGCAGCACTCTGTGTCTGCCTCTGCTGTGATGACAGACGAGCCACTGGTGTAATCCTCAGGCTTTTCAGATTACTCCAGTTGGGGTCACATTCTACACCAACCTACAGCGGGTCAGCTTTCCACTCCCTCTCTATCACTCAGCCATTCTGCACACAATCCTTACTGCACAGATGAAGCTTTTCCTGGTGAAATGCTGTCAGTTTCCCTCCCCCACTGATCTCTTGGTCCAAATCTGTCCTTTTGAGCCAGAGAGCTGGGAGCTGAATTTGATGTGTGAGTTATACATCAGTGATGCTGGAGCAATAAAAGCTCAGTTAACTGGAGTTCTTAACAGTGCAAATTAGCATAAAAGCGAATGAGCATCTTCCCCTTTTTTTGATCAAATTATAAGGTATCAGGGCTCCACGTCGCACCAGGCGACTGAAATAGACTCCATGGCAGAGTGAACTCTCTTTCACTCGGGCGTCTGTTACAGGCCTGGCCACATCTGCAGCATGCAAGCCATCTGCACCTATTGTCTCAGAGCCGAAACACGGCCCCGCACGCATGGCTGGCCTTGTAAAGGCAGCGAGTCCCTTTCCACTCTGTTCTCTACCATCCCTCACTGAGAGAGGGGAAAATGACTTGTTAATCTCACAAAAGCAACAAACAGCATTGACACACTAAACTTGAAAGAGATTTAACTTCAAGGTTAGCTTTATCTTTTTAATAAAAGGATAACTAAAAAAAATCAATGAGGTCATTATCACTATCAGGGAATTGGTGGTGAAAAAAAGAATGGGTTGAGCTTATTGAGATCACTATGTTCACTGATTCACTATGTTCTTGCTCACATTGTGGGAGTTTGAATGTTTTGAGTGTGAGAAGTAAGGTTGAGGGTGGGAACAAGACCAATGGCAAAGAGATAAATAGCAGGAATCTGAATAAAAATGAAATATAAAAAGTTTGAATGTTCTTATGACTAATTTTAGGAAGCGAAACCTAAGAAATAACATATGTTGATTATGGTTATTAGATATCAAAGACTGCATATTCAGTGTCTTGAAAAATTTGAATGGCCATGAAAGCTCACTGCTAACGGAGCCTTTTGTTCAAAGAAGGTTTAGTGAAAGGAAAACCTGTAACAGGAAGGAACACAGCTTTGAGGAGATTGTCACCTGAAATCCATCAAGGCTGAGGGGATGTGTGTGTATGTGTGCAGATCTAAGATCAAAATAAAGTTTGTATCCACTTTGTGTTCTGAAGAGTAGTCAACACAGATATCCGCATGGATATGTCATTGCTCTTTATGCTTTTTTTCACTTACAAGCTTTGTGAAGATGTTTTGTTTTTCTGTTGTTTTCTTCCAGGACCTGGCACCTGCCCACACTTCCAATGATATGAAAGCTTTGCTCTATGACCATGTTGTTACTGTGCCAGCAGACTGGCCTGACCTGAGACCCATGGAGAATCTCAGGGGTGCTATCAAAATGAAAGATGAGAGACACCAGAACAAACAATGCATATGACCTGAAGGCTGCCATCCAAGTAACCTGGGCTTCAATTACACCTCAGCAGAAGCAAAGGCTGATTACCTCCAAGACACTGAAAAATGATGCACCAATCCATAAAAGGAGACACAAACATGTATTTAGACCATAACAATGAACACAAACATTTGTGTTTAAATTGTAATTTAAGACAATCTATGCAAATCTCTTATTAATTTTAGTGTTTGACAGTTATTGTGGGGTTTTTAATATGAATAAGACATATAGTTTCAGAATATTTCACTCAATATTTTTGATATAAGGACTTTAACTTCCGATAAGAAAAATTGGAGCCTTTTCACAATGTTCACTTTTAGAACATGGTAAGACAACAAGTTAACTGTTTTAACTGCACAAGCATTTCAAGTCTGAATGAGAGAAAGCACTTGTTTCAGTTTAAACTACTAGAAAAGGAATACTCCAGAAAGTTTTGTAAGTGCTATACTTTATACCATAGTGCTTGTTGCACAGCATAGCTATACTTTTAGGCTGGGTTTTAGCATGTATTTCCAAAACTGTAGATAACGTGACAGTGAAATAGTTGCATGGATGCTTTGAAAACAATGTATCTTCTAATAATACTAATCAACCATCTCACTAGGAAGTACTCGTGTCCTTCACATGTTCGAGGTAACAACAACAAGATTTTAAAGCATGCTCCACACAGAGCTGCCCCAAGATGGCACAAGGCCTTCGGTTGAGTTTCATTTTGGGGCAAAAATCCATCTAATCCCTTTGCAGTAAGACGTTTGATTCTTCTCTGAAGTTGCTTTCAAAAGATGAATCCTTTTTTGGCTCACTATGTTATAAGGAGCTAGTGAAAACTGATGCATTTGCAAAACTTTTCTTTCAATCAAGGCTTCCTGCTGTTCCCTAAAGGCCCTAAACACCTATAATGTCCCCTTATGCCTTAGGCTAGCTCCCCTTTCCAGTCTCCTTGGTTTTTATGTCTACGCTACAATAAATGTATCGTAAATTTCATGTCTAAAATAAACTTTTGTGTGTTTTTTCTTTAAGTTTCCACTGTTTTATAAAAAAAAATCTACCAGCTGCAGCTGTCTTGACTATAATGAAATAAGCCTAATGGACTAAAAAACATGTAGAAAGGAAGATATTATCAATAAAAGTGACATGAAAAGCCAGGCGATGGTTTATTAATGCTTCAGGGGCAAAGACATTGATTTCTTGGAAACTGATAACTGTAAATATACAAGTTGAAACATTATGTAGTTAAACGGAATGCATCAGCTCTAGACATACCGGTACCAATAAAGTAGTTATAGAGTTGATCAAAGATACCAAAGTGTTTTAAAAAGGCTATCAGAAAGCCATGGTTTTTCATTTTGTGGTAAATGTGTGAATATTACAAAAAAAAAAGGGGGGGGGGGGGTGTTGGTGTGCAAGTTACACTGAATAACTGACTTATTTACACTGGTTCTGTTGATTAAATAAAAATAGGCCAACTGTGGTACAAATATAAATACATATATGAAAAACCGGATCTAAAACTTGACATTTTTCATGATTTAAAACAAATAGATAACAGTATTTGTTATGGCTGCAATATAAGCTGAACAAATACAGTAGCACCACGTTGTTTTCCCCAAATATCAACCAATCAGTGCGCACAAAATAAAAGGTGAGACTAATTTTCTTTTCTTGGGAAATAAAATGTATTTTCCCGTAAGTTGAAGCTCTATATGTTTCATTTACCGCTCTCCTGCAGTATTGATAATGAGGATTTATTATGGAACAGTTGACAATGAATGCAATGTGCATGCGTTAGTGGGAGGGATTATCCACCAAGTAGGGCAAGTGGCTAAGGCTAAGGACTGCAATTCCATCCAGCCTAGTTCATTTCAGTCATCCGCTCCGAGCGCGCACTCAATCACACAAGGGGAACACATTTTTGCGCACAATAATAATAATAATAAAGCCATAAGTAAAAAGAAAGAAAAGGGGGAAAAAATGGTAAAGTACATTCGGCAACACAGCAGCGAGCTTAGAAGCGAAGAGGTCCTGTCGAAGTCTGACGCGTCCAAGGAGCAGCAGGAGAGATTGGGAGAGATGTCCGACTCTTCCTTCAGCGACGCTTTCTACTCCAAATATTCCGCAATGGACCAGCTCGGCACTTTTATGCGGAACGTGCAAGTGCTGCTGGAGGCGGCTAGTTACATTGAAAGCGCCGAGAAGAGCAACGGAAGTAAGTAAATAGACGGGACATTTAATGCGCCGAGCAGACAACAATAGAGAGCGAGGGCGACAAAAGACGCGCAGCGGACAGACGCACTGCTGGCCCGAGCTGCGCCTGCGATGT